AAGAATTTTCGCGTGCACTCGTACTCACTTGTTTGAGAAGTGGTCTTCATCCGATTATTTTGTTGTTGCGAGTGGTGGCACCCTGAGTTACGGCCTGAGACGAGAGCTCTATGACTATCGTCCTTGTCCATGGCCGGAGACCCACAGACAAACGTGTTGGCTGGTGCCGTAATCTGGCGTAATCGTATCAACACCTGAAATTCAAAGAGGCATCGTTGATGTAACCGACTCTGAGCAGTGAGAAGACGAGCAGGCAGGAGATCGGAGATGGTTCCGGAGATGAAGCAACACGGGCTGCCACGTATAGGAAAGCTAGCACCCGCGGACCAAGCCAAGAGTAGAGATCAAGCACAAACATGAGGACTGACTGTGAGGGTGGCTCACCGTGCACGAACAGTCCACAAAGAGCGAAAATTACTGCGAAAGTTTGCATGTTTCTCGCTCCAAGAAATTTTCGTGTGCACTCGCTTGTTTTTGAGAAGTGGTCTCCATCCGTATAATTTGTTTGTTGCGAGTGGCGGCACGCGCACCAGGTACTCTGAGTCACGGCCTGAGACGAGAGCTCTTTGACTACGTTGTCCATGGCCGGAGACCCACAGACAAACGGGCCGGGTTGGCTTGTGCCGTAATCTTGTGCATCAACACCTGAGATTCAAAAAGGCATCATTGATGTAACCGACTCTGAGCAGTGAGAAGACGAGCAAGCAGGAGATCGGAGATGGTTCTGGAGATGAAGCAACACGGGCTGCCACAAAAACCTAGCACTCGCGGACCAAGCCAAGAGTAGAGATCAAGCACAAACATGAAGATTGAGGCCGAAATGAGGGTCGCTCACCGTGCACCAGGCTGACCAGCGGTCCACAAAGAGCGAAAATTACTGCGAAAGTTTGTTTCGCGTTTCCTGCAACTTTCGCGTTCAAAACTGCGAACGTTCGCACGAAGTTTCGCTTTTCGTGACGTCAAACGAATATTCGCGCGAACGTTCGCTCTGCAAAACCTCTCTAAAATCTACTGCCAGTACTGATATACATGTACAATGACCATTGTCATGTATATGTATATGTACATGGTGTAGAAGTCAGTGAATCAGTGAATGTCATGAAAATGTTAGTACGTTGTCAAAATGATGCGCGGCGTACTGCATCAGGCCTGCAAAAGGCTGCATGCATGATGTGCCAGATTGCACTGTTTGAGCAGCTCAGCTCATGATATCAGTGATAATACTAGTAGTAGTACGCAGTAATGTAAAAATGATGATCCCCCCCCCCCCGGCCCCCGGCCTGTTGCGCACTTTGACACTGTCAGGTTGTCAGGTTGAGAAAATAATTGACAGCTCGTGCCATTGCGATGTTAGACTAAGACTAGTAAGAGGCCCAACTACATTGTAGCCAAGCTGCAAGCCAGCTGGCGAGATCGCACAAATCATGTGTCCGCGCTGGACCTTGGCTATAAAAATACTACTACTAGCCCGTGGAGCTTGCGGCGTACAGTGACTACACTCAGTCTACAGTCAGAACTCGACCAACCAGTTACCTACTGCCTACTTGCACTACTGTACTCACTACTACTAGTACTAGACCTACTGCCTACTTGCACTACTGTACTCACTACTACTAGTACTAGACCTACTGCCTACTTGCACTCCTGTACTCACTACTACTGTACTAGACCTACTGCCTACTTGCACTACTGTACTCACTACTACTAGTACTAGACCTACTGCCTACTTGCACTACTGTACTCACTACTACTAGTACTAGACCTACTGCCTACTTGCACTCCTGTACTCACTACTACTGTACTAGACCTACTGCCTACTTGCACTCCTGTACTCACTACTACTAGTACTAGACCTACTGCCTACTTGCACTCCTGTACTCACTACTACTAGTACTAGACCTACTGCCTACTTGCACTCCTGTACTCACTACTACTGTACTAGACCTACTGCCTACTTGCACTCCTGTACTCACTACTACTGTACTAGACCTACTGCCTACTTGCACTACTGTACTCACTACTACTGTACTAGACCTACTGCCTACTTGCACTCCTGTACTCACTACTACTGTACTAGACCTACTGCCTACTTGCACTCCTGTACTCACTACTACTGTACTAGACCTACTGCCTACTTGCACTACTGTACTCACTACTACTAGTACTAGACCTACTGCCTACTTGCACTACTGTACTCACTACTACTGTACTAGACCTACTGCCTACTTGCACTCCTGTACTCACTACTACTGTACTAGACCTACTGCCTACTTGCACTCCTGTACTCACTACTAGACCTACTGCCTACTTGTACTACTGCAGTACTAGACCTACTGTACTGGGCCAGTGGCTATCTCCAGTATCGGCCCTGGGGGCTAGTGCCAGTAGTGGAGGGGACACCAGGACACGGGACCGTCGTGCATGGCCGTATCAATGTTCAGGACAGGAGGCCAACGCGCGCGCGTGTGTGTGTGTGTGTACGTGTGCGCGCGCATCCCCGTTACTTTTACTTCTTGAAGTAGTGATAATAATATGAAGGGTCACTTTTTGTGCGTGATGGTAGGGCACGTGAAGGGTGCAGATCGGTCTGGTTTGGTATGGTCTTCGCAACTGTATTAATTATTTGCCAGTACTGGCAGAGGGGTAGGGTCCTGGAGGATGACGAGCGATCAATCCGGGAAATCGATATCCGAGTGGCTATATACACTGTATATTATAATAACGCCGGTGCAAGCGGAACAAAAATTTGACAATTTTCTATCACTACATTACTCGCGCAGTAAACCTGTGAAGGCGACCACTTGGATAAGGCGACCACCTGTCCTACATGTAGAAGACCATTGGAACCAGGACCAAGGGATGCTACCAGTATTTTCAGTCAATTGACCCTAGATAAGGAGACCACCTGGTAACAGAGACCACATTTTGAAGGTCCCATGAGCGGTCGTCTTAGACAGTACATGTACATCATAACATGTACAATCTAACAATCATGTGTGACTAGGAGTTCTACAATCATGTACTTATTCCTCCCTACCACAGCTAGGCCTTTCCGGATTATGCGTTTTTTCCTGGTCTAAAATGGAAATCGAAAGTGTTTTGAAAAACCCCTATAAATCCAAAAAATTCTTTAAAAAGAAAATGCAAAATAATTATTGTACCCAAAAAGCACAAAAAGTATTGTACAGTACAATGGAACCAGGCAGGCACAGTGGGTTGGTCAAAGACCATGATTGAGATACGAGAGGTACCTGGTTCAAGTCCTGCCTGGGAGCGGTTTTTCCAGCCGTGCTGCTACCCACAGTCAACTGGGAACTTGTGGCCAGGCACAAGGGGTACATGGAAGTAATGGGGTCGCTTTCGGCACTTGTGCCAGTGGTTGTGAGACTTACCCACTCACCCCCACCGTTAGGCGCTGCATCTGCCGCTAGGGTTTATCGGGTGTTAGCGGCCGTCGTGAGTTCCCTTCGGGAACGGATACGATAATTTACTTACTTACAATGATTTCGACTGTAATGATTACGTAGAGCTACTGCTACCACGAGTACGGGTGGGTTTAGTGTGACTATCGCCCACCCCTTTCGTGTAAGAAAAGTATAGTTTGCACGTCCGCCTTACAACCGGTTGAGAAACACAACCACCATGCCTGTGATACCAGGGTGGCAGATGCAGCGCGAGGGCGAGGGTGAGGTGGTAGGTCTCACAACCATTGAACTAATGCCCGACAAGGGGCTAACCTCGTTAGCTGCATCCATGTTACCCTCAGGCCTCACTCCGAGTAGTGAGTACCCAGTTGACCGTGGGTGCGTGTACAAACTGAAAAGTCGGATGGGATAAACTACGAATGTATGCTTTAAACTTACTTTTTATACTTGACGTGTGCGCCTTGATAAGACCCGAACCGCAGCGCGCGCGTGCCACATGGGTGCTTGCGGCTAGGGTGGTGCATGCGTGTGGTAGATCTACAACAGGTCGGTGGTGTGTTTCAGCTTTGAACTCGGCTGAGCGTAGGTAACACTGTTTGTAGTGGGTCAGTAGATCTACTCAGTGACAGTCGCTGATAGTCTGGAGATGGTGGAGTCTACCGACATGAATGAGTCTGTAGTCTGAAGCCGTGAAGGCGGTCAACACCGCTGCATCAGTGCATGCAAAACACGTCCTTACACAGAGATCATCAACATTACAGGATAGAACATGTGACCGTTGACAACTCCCACTGCATGCTGTCATTGGCATTGCTGGCTAGTACAGACTCAGTAGTACTAGTAGAAGTAGAAGTGGTGGCAGTGGCGCAGCGCAAACACACACAGGAACCATCAAGCGCTGGAGTGCGGAAGCTGACAAGAAAAGCCCTGTTTGTTATCTGGTTATGTGCGGTCGCCACTCGGATGGGTGACTCCATGGCCAACACACTATTGTACGTACTTGGGCGTTGGGGATCGGGCACTGACATGACGGGCAGAGCTAGTCTAGACTACAAAAAGCCAAGACTCTGGACTGCAGCTTGTCCATCAAGGCACATGTCCCAACTGGACCGAAGGCACATGTACATGATGTAGCCCATTGCATCTTCGTAGATCTACTCACTCTCTGCATGCATGCACCCATACAGCCATGGCACTGCTGCCACTGCTGGCGTGCGTTGTCATGCAGTGAATGGCTATGCATTGCTCATGTTATGTTCGATCATGTACACTGACTGTCTACGTACACAACAGTCAACAGGCTAGGCAGAGCACAGAGAAGTACTCGCGGCACACACGGCCACAATCATATCCGTCGGCAGCGCGCCTGTCCGTGAAAACTTCAAATGGGAACAAAGCCGAGCACAAAATGTCATGACTGAGCATCCAGAACAACAACACGAGTACCAGAGTGCAAGTCATGTAGATACGTATTATGTGTATGAACATCATAATGATCATGCTCGTGTGCTGGAGTCACCCTAGATCAGTTTTCAGAAAACGCAGATATTTGTAATTATTATTATTTGCCAGAGTCGTTCCTGTAGAGCTAGTTCCGTCAGGACTTTGAACTCACTTGAAGATGTTCATTGGTTTTGCTACCCACCCGCGAAAGCCAAGGCAAGGGACGGTGTGATTGCATTGTCGCTCACCATTCCAGGAGTGCCAGCCTCTCGACGCGCGAAGTGCTGCTGCTGTTGCATGTCTGTGAGTGTGAGAGCCAGAGTGCCAGACCGAGGCAGTGAAGAGTTCACGCCTCGCTCGCTGAAGTGAGGGGACGAACATCGCACCTCTTGCGTGCGGAAAGCGCAGTGTCGAGAGGGTAATCCGTGTCGCTGCAGTCACTCAAGCGGTAAAAGTTATCGGTAGGCGGCGAGGTGTGGCATATTCAGCAAGACCTGAGCGGACTGTCGATCGGTGGTGCTGAGGCCGCTGCGAGGGCATCGGCGGTAGATTCATAACCCAGTCGTCCTCGGATCGGAGCATCTCGCTGACCCTGGTCCTGGAGGGGAGGATTGGATGGATCGCTCTCTGAGAGTGTGTGGGTGTACCGCGGACCGTCACCGAGATTCTAGAACACGTAACACTTTGTCTGTGGGTCTGTGAGAGTCGCTGGTAGCGCTTCGGCGTTCTCGAGGCCTTGCCATGGCGGAGCAAACACTGGACCGCGAGCTGCGCTACCGTGCGTCCTGGAAACGGTCGACAAACCTGCACGAAATGAGAGCGGTGCCGAGAGTAGGCGGCAGCCGGACGATACTGTTTGTGCTTAGCGTGCTACTGCTAGCAATGTTATGTGGAGTCGCGTCGTCACAGAGTGGACCTCCAAGTACCAGCAGCTCGAGTGCAACGTTTACCCAGAGTGCGTCACCAAGTGCCAACAGCTCGAATGTAACAACAACAGCAGCAGTGCCGACACCTAGTCATATGGAGCTTACGTGCCACGTCACCTTCAAATTAATCAGACTGGGATTCTGTTCAAATAATTCATCACCACCTTCACCAATGATCATAGGACAAATTCAGAAATTCGCGTTGGAATTAAAACAATTGCAAGGGATCAATATAACACAGCTTCCAACAACGAACACCACCAACTACCAGACAATACCGTTTGAGCAAGAATTTACCATCGTCACGCAAGCATTGGACAGCATCATCGGCGAAATTGTTCAGAAGATCAAGATCCAGCCGATCAAGACGAAAGACCTGCTCTGCGGCATTCTGTCGTCGCCTGAAAATTCCTCTACTCCACGTGCGTATGTTACGCTACTCCTTCAAATCCAACAGCTGCTGGCCGTGGTGACAAGCATAACCGACACCGAATCCTGTGCAGAAACCCACCCTATTTCGCTAATCTTCAATTGCCTCTTGTTGCAGTTTCCCCCACAGATGAATACCTCGTCCGTACAGCCGCCACCAAGTGACAATAACTCGCTCTGTCTCAATCTGACGTGTCCGGCTTACATGCAGGAGACCAGGATAGTGGGTCACATCTACCCGGGCGTGCGGAACCTGTCCACTCAGCTGCAGAACGCCGTCAAGTACCTGCTGCCGGGCTGCGTGAACCAGAGCACGATCGACCGGCACCGCGACGCCCTGCTCCTGAGCATCCTGCCCTGCGGCCTCAGCTGCGACACGAGCCAGCCGGGCGCATTCACCGCGGAGCAGGAGCGACACTCTCGCATCGTCATCCAGGTCTTCACCTGGCTGTCGCTGCTGTTCACGGCGTTCGCGCTCGTGTCGTTCGTGATCAACCGCGAGAATCTGAACAAGTACCCGACGCGCATCATCGTCTACATCAACGCACTGTACTTCCTCAGCAGCATCGTGGCACTGGTGCAGGTGACGGGCAACGAGTGGCGACGTTACAGCTGCAACGAGGACAACACGGTACGCACGAGCGAGCCAAGGGCGAGCGACGAGGGCGGCACGGGTGAGGGGCGGGCGTGCGCCGCGCTGTTCGCGCTGAACTACTTCCTGCTGTCGTCGGCGCTGCTGTGGTGGCTGTGCCTGACGCACGCCTGGTACATCACGTTCAAGGCGTTTGACGACCAGGGCCTCAAGGAGAGGTTCAGGCGCTACGAGCTCGTGTACCACGCATTTGTCTGGCCGACCACGCTGGCGCTGATGATCGGTATGCTGGCGTGGGGCAAGATTGACGGTGTCCCCATCTACGGTTTGTGCTTCACCAACGAGGTGGCTCCGTGGCTCTACTTCATGAGCCTGCCGGTGCTGGTAGTCGGCGCCCTCGGCCTGCCGTACCTGTGCCTGGGCACGCGTATGGTGCTCGGCTTCAAGGGCCACATCAAGAAGATGGCGCGGCGCAGCTCCATTCAGAGCATCGAGCGCATGAAGCGCAACGACTCCGGCCTGCGCACGTTCCTTGCCCGCACTACGCTGATCATCATCGTCAGCTTCCTGCACCTGCTCGTGCAGGTGGCCATCGCCGTCTACCGCCTGGCGAACGACAGCCATTGGAAGGACGAGGGCGAAGCGTACTTCCTGTGTGTGCAGACTCGCTGCTCGAGCGACGCGAGCGTGTGCGAGGGCCTGAAACCGAACCCGAGCCTGGAGCTCTTCACCCTGATCTCGGTGCTGATCAACATGGAGGGCATCGTGCTCACCTGGTGGGCGTTCAATGCGCAGACGTGGCGAGAGTGGAAGTCTCGCGCAGGCAGCACTACTTCCCTCTTCAAGCGACTCAGCTCACACAAGTTCAACAGTGGCGACCTGAGCGCGGCGCAGCGGGTCATGGGCTCCAACACCAGCGGGGCTGCTGCTGCCACGGCGACTAGCTCGTCGCTTAGCGACTCGTTCGTGAAGCGCGACATGAAGACGCGAGAGAACACGAAGCACAACGTCGAGCTCACCCGGTTTCGCTACGCCATGTCACGCGACGACTTTGATCACCGCTACAAGCGCCCCAACGGCAGCTCTTCTGAAGACCCCTCCGCCACCGCCGCGAACAGCCATGTCAGAGATTCCGTGTTCAGCACGCCGACGGACGAGACCAGCTTCACCAGCATTGACGGTGCCGGTGGAGCTCATGTCGAGAACGGCACTCCCACGCCGGAGCAGGATGATCCGCGGCGCGACTTCAAGCACGCCAACAGCCGGGTGCACTTCTCCACGACTACCGATACGTCCGATGTCATGATTACGCCACCGTCGTCGCTGCCGCTCGCGGCGGCGCCCAAGACTTCCGTAGCCATGGCAACGTACATCTCGTCAACGTCCAGCTGTGACTCGCCGGGCGCTGCCTCCAGCCCCAGCCGATCGATTTTGAAAAAGGGACGCAGCATGTCCACGTCCAATCAGAGGCCGCCGCCGGTTGCTATGGTGAGGGAAGAAGACGACGAGCAGCTGGAGACGTTCCAGGAGAACATAGCGGCCGGCGCGAACGTCCCGTTCCTGTCGGAGAACGCCCCGGACGCCCCCACTGTAATGCCACTGTCTCGCTCGCCGCGGATATCCCGTGTCAAAGAGGAAGCGACGTCGCTGGAGGCCAAACGCGACAGCATCCGCAGACGCTCGAAGTCCGCCAGCGCGTCGCTCGGAGCCAACTCGTTGAGGTCGCCACTGCAGCTAAACGGTCGCACTTCACCACCACGAAGGATCGGCTTCTCCGACAGTGACGATGGGAGTGACGATGATGATGAGCCCGATTTCCGCCGTCGTCCCACGCCTTCTTCGCCGCCGAGGGTTGGGTTCAGTTCGAGCAGCGGGGACTACGATGACGGTAAACGAGCACAGCACGCCCCGAGCATGCCCACGGTCAAGAACGGCGTTGTCACATCAACGCCGATCAAGGGCCCCCTCGCCATGAACGGCTTTCATCGGCCTTGCACCGACACCAACGATGTTGTCGCAAGTCCCATCAAGGCTGACGTCGCACCCTGGCGCTCCATCCAGTCGGAGGTGGAAGAGGCGTACGCTGAGCAGGAGAGCAAGCGACGATCGCAGGCGCTCGTCGACTCGTTTGCCGACCCCGTTATGGCCTCGTCCCCGCGACGCTCCATCATAGTCGAGAGCAATCTATGACACGGCATTGGCGACGACGGGGGCTAACGAACTGCCACAGCAGCAGCCGCTTATTGCTGTTTGCTGTTGTATGGCTGCGGCCACCTAGTGCTGTGCGACCGCCGCAGCAACCTACTCCTGTGCTAATGTTGCAGCAGCCTCCTGTAACAAAACGGCAGCGTCTGTAGGGCCTTCCATATCAAAATATTAAATTCGATTACATGTACTACTATTCTACTACTATTCTACTACTACTGCTGTTCTCGGTTGGCAGTGAACCGAGTAGAGGCGTTACACTGGACCTTGAGCTAAACTGCATTGCTGAACCGGACATGTCCACTGTGTGAGAACGATGTCCTCGTTTTTTCCATTCACTGCCTTGTCATCACCGACTCGTTCTCCTTCTCCTCGGTCTTCTTCTCTCCTTTTACCTCGCACCAAGAGTACTGGAAACCCAGAGTGTGCTGCTCTGATGGGTTGCTGTCACGGAGAAATTCCGTCACGGATTACATTTTTTTTGGACGGATCACATAATTTTAGTGATGCTGTGCAAGACAGAAGCTGCACACTCTCTGCGTTTCATGTACTTCTGAGTATGTAACAATTATTTTTACTTGATTGTACTCTGGCCTGCCGTGCGAATGAACGTCTCTTTCTCTCCTACTGCTCCTCGTCTGCTGAACGCGTGCGGGTATTCCGACATAGACTATTTTGAGAACGGATTTATACAGAATTTGCTTCTTCTTTTTTTATCTTTTACATGTTGGAGAAATTTAGCATTTACCTTGCGTATAGTCCCAGAGTCAGTAGAGTAATCATTTCACTTCTCGCTTCTAAGCGTGGTGTGATCATCTCACTACTCCCTGCTAAGCGCTGTAGAGTGGTTATTTCGCTGCTTTCATCCCGTTGAGTACTAGAGTAGTTATTTTCCTACTAGGTTATCTTCTATGCAAACTAATGCTCATAGGGCTGGCTGCGCTGTTCTAGCATGTAGAATATAGATAGGTACGCAATGAATACGATTAGGTTAGGATTGCCATTGCATAGTTTTGTATCTTCTGTTGATCCGCTTGTTTCTGTTAAAATAATGGAATTGGAGCGTCCTCTCGCCCTCATTCTGGTGAGCGGCGTCTTCATCTATTAGGCAGGCAGGCATTGCCGGTGTTTCCGTCGCCCGTTATTGAGTCGGGCCTGACGAATGTAGTGCAGTACAGTCCTGGCTAGGGAAATCCCCCCTCATGAATACACATGTACAGTAGTGCAGTACAGTCCTGGCTAGGGAAATCCCCCTTCATGAATACACATGTACAGTAGTGCAGTACAGTCCTGGCTAGGGGAATCCCCCTTCATGAATACACATGTACAGTAGTGCAGTACAGTCCTGGCTAGGGGAATCCCCCTTCATGAATACACATGTACAGTAGTGCAGTACAGTCCTGGCTAGGGGAATCCCCCTTCATGAATACACATGTACAGTAAGTACTGACTACTGAGTACTGTGAAAGCAGAAAATTTCGTTGCTCAATAATTTCGTCCAACTCCAAAGAAAGGGGGTTCGTCCGGTTGTAAATTTCGTCCATGGATCATATAGGAGTGTATTGAAAAGCTGGACAAATCAATATTAGTCCGGCACTTAATTAAGTCCAACAGCTCGTTGGACGAAAAAGACGAAATTAAATTCCAGACGAATATTTCTGCTTGTACAGTATGTAAAACCTGTAACTAAAGACCACCGTGACTAGCGATCAGCCTGGTACTACCGACCGCTTTGCGCGCCGGGCACGGACTGTCTCACATTCAAATGTGGCGGTGCGCTGCAAACCTCTAACTAAGGACCACCTGCCACTAAAGACCGCTTTATCTGGCCCCAAGGGGTGGTCGTTAGTCACAGGTTTTATGCACATGTAATTGCATGAAGGGGGGGGGGGTGCGGGTGCACAGTGTTTGCATGTGTGTGCACTCGGGTGTTGCTATTTATTTCAATTCGCGACTCCATTATATGCATGCAGACGCGTGTGTGTTTTTGTGTGCGTGGGCATGTGTGTCTGCTCGATCGTGTACATGTGTGTGCCCCAGCTACATGACTGTATATTTGTATTATTCTAGTTTGATTGGTCTTTAAGGTATGCCAGATTATGCTTATGCATGTACAGATTGGATATAACGACACTCCTTCGGGAGAAAACAAAAAGTCACTATATTCGATCTGTCACTAAACCCGATCTTCACAATACATGTACATCATCATTCGCTCCCTTGTCACTGGACAGTTCTGTCCGTTTGGTTTTAGCGAATTCGAATAACGAAAACAACAACAACAACAACAACATCATGTACATGTATGTACTGAAGTCCATGTATAATTTTCATACTGACAGAAATGCATGTTTCACTCGGATAATGAGCAAGTATTTAAAATAAATAATTAATAGAAGAATCACATGGAAACGAGTTAACACTACATCATGACATGTACATGTACATTGTATGAAGCAACTATCCACGACTGTAATAAGATACATGATAGTAAGCAGTCAGAAAGTGCGATAACAGGGCACAGGAGTCGTTGAATATCTCAGTAGCCGCGGTCAGTTTTGTGCCCTGTTATCGCACTTTCTGACTGCTTATCACTATACTACATGTATCTTGTTAGAAGTTGGTACCGTCATGGGTAGTTGCTTCACAACTCGTTTGCATGTGATTTCTTCTACTACTAGTTTTAGATAATGCATTGTGCATGTGCATAGTTATAATTATTGCATATGGATTTCAGATGTGTGTATACATGTAAATACTTCGTTTTGTCCAGCCATACTGGCCGAAATCCTTCTTCTTTTTCAGCAAGTAATGTTATTAGTTCGCAAGTATCCAAGCAAACACACACACACACGCGCGCGCATGCGCACGCGCACGCACATGCCCTCGCACACGCACACGCACACACACACACACACACACACACACACACACACACACACACACACACACACGCATCCAGCCAAGGATTGTGCAGGGAATGGCTAAAGTAAGTAATTAGTTGGAGAAACTGAAACTTATAATTAGAGCGCGTGTTAAAAGGTAGCGCTTTCAGAGCCTTCTCATCAGACGTGACAGCCATAGGGAAAATCAACACAAGTGCAATAGGTGAAAGAGTATGACCGTGCAAGCAGAATTGGAGGCAATGCAAAGGAAGGAGAGAGAGGAGCAGATGACAGATTACATCAAAAAATTTAATAGTTATAATCACACCCTGCGTGGCTGCGACTGTATTGATCCGTTATAAAAGGACACGTACTGTACTGTACTCACTGCATTAGGTCGAAATTAGTCACCCAATAGTCGACTACAGCTGTGTGGTTGATTAAAGTTTCCTGCAAGTACGGTCGGTAGATAATTATCATATCTGATGGATCTTATCCATCGCGGTCAAAGACCAGGGTAGATCTACACACCGGTATATGTGACGGACTGCTCCCTGGTCAAAGACTGATTTTGATGATCACACTGCAGCACTGAGTGACACAACTGTGATCGTGTGTCAGTTTGTGTCATAAAGAGTGACAACCGACACTACGTTTCTTGCAACTATTGTATTACTGTCTTTGTAGTGCAAGAAGTCCGCTTCCGGTTCCCCGGCTGAAGGATCTAGGACGGCCTGCTGCATTCGGCGACTTCTGCTAGCCTTCTGCCTTTTATTGATAGTCCGGGCGTAGACTCTGTTGAGCGCTTCGCGAATTCAGCTGCTCGTTCGGGTGCCAACGATGACCTATTTGGACACGTTCAGCGAGGCTGGATGCATGGCGGGTGCAAAGAGATATCTTTCAAATCAAGTTGTTGATATTGGGATGCTATTTGCAGTTCCAATCGTAGACCCTCTACCCTGTTTTCAAGTTTGCGGTGCTCCCGACGTACTTCAGCCAAGTAATTAGTTAGTTCAGGATGCCCTCATCATAGGCTCATGCCGAACTACCGTAGATGCCTATGACTTCATCGAGGTTGTGCACGTGGACAGTAGAGGGGCGCTGTTGCCGTGTTGGGGCGGCGTTACTTCTCCAGTCTACAATTATTTTAGGACCAAGTGTTAGTTGCTTCGGAGGGCTGTACGAGTAGTGTAGCACTGCACCTTGTGGCTTGTCACGTCTGCTCACGAGTTCTGCATCGTCAGTCCCCGCGCCCGGAAAGGTGGCGCGGTCTGCAGGAGACGAGAGTTCACACTTCAGGCGGGCTCGACACTGCTGGTCTTGTCTCGTTGTACGTCGTAGGAAGAAGGACCACGGCGCCAGTGCATCCAGGTATCCGTGAGATCGAGCGGCCAGTCCACAAGTGGTGCAACCCTGCTGTAAATTGGCGGGCTGCTGCTGCGGGACAGCCAGTAGCCGGCTACCAGCATCTGCAAGGCTCTGGCCCCCGGAGCGGCATATGCAGCGAGACGTCCAGAAGTGTGCATGTCAGCACTCAAGCCAGACTTCTGAAAGTCTGTGCCTCTCTAGCTGCAGTGCTGGTGGAGCTCATAATAGTGTGGTGGTGAACAGTGTGCTGTCCCTACTTCTCATTCTTTTCCCAGTTGAGTTTTCCATGCACGCACCTGGATTAGACATCTAGTAAACAGTGCTTCGAGTGCTCACCGCTGTCACGCTTTACTACACACATACAAATACACGCGCACGCACGCAGCGCAAGTCGTTAGCTAGGCACGTGAACCGTCGTGTGTTCGTGTCAGGCAGTCAGCTTCGCAGCAGCGGCGGCGTTCCGGTTCCCCGCAGCGGCGGCGTTGAAGACGGTCGGTTCGGCGAGCAGGATGCAGGGCGGCGACGGGAGATTACACCCTGCCAGTGCACGGCACGCACTGCTCGCGTTCAGTCTGCTGTTCACCGTACTGTGCAGCGTAGCATTGGGTCAGACCGGCGATGATCGCAGAACTGCTGATACGTCATCGTCTTCAGTCGAGAACAAGAGCCTACTCCGGGCGAAGACGGCGTACTGCGACACGCTGCTCAACACGATACGCATGGCGCTATGCCCGGGCTCTCTACCCCAGTCACTGGGGAGCTCGGGGTTGCGGCAACTCAGCACGCAGGATCTGTTGCTGCTGGCGTCGCTGCACAAGACGTCCGGTGTCCTGGACGCCACCATGGCCGAGATCGTCAAGCGCATCGGCATGCAGCCCGTGTCGACGACAGAGCTCCTGTGCTCACTGCTATCGACCACGTCTGTGCCTCCCGTGGAGTACACCTTGCTGATTGGCCAGCTGGGACGGCTGCTGCAGACGGTGACGAGTATTACGAACACGAGCGAGTGCGCCCGCCGGCAGCCCATCAGCACGCTACTGGACTGCCTGGGTCTGGAACTCGGCAAGCCGCGCAGTACTGGTGCGCCGCCGTCACCATCACCGTCGCCGTCAACAACAATCGACAATGCCGTCTGCCTGAACGTGGAGTGTCCGGCGAGCATGAAGAGGACGCGGCGTGTGCGCCACATCGACCCGGGCGTGAGGAACCTCTCGCTGCAGCTGCAGACCGCCGTGGTGCACCTGCTGCCGGGCTGCTTGAGCGCCGAAACCATTGCGACACACCGCGACGAGCTGCTCCTCAGCATCCTGCCCTGCGGGCGCAGCTGCGACGTGAGCCAGCCGGGCGCGTTCACGTCAGAAGAGGAGCGCCGCTCTCGCATCGTCATCCAGGTGTTCTGCTGGTTGTCCCTGGTGTTCGCATCTTTTGCGCTCATCTCTTTCTTCGTCAACCACAAGTCGCTGAACAAGTACCCGACGCGCATCATCGTCTACATCAACGCGCTGTTCTTCCTCAGCAACATTGTGGCGCTGGTGCAGGTGACGGGCGACAAATGGCGACGCTACGGCTGCAACGAGGACGGCACAATTCGCACCGGCGAACCGCGGTCTATTGACGACGGCAGCACACCCGAGGGCAGGTTGTGCGCCACCCTGTTTTCCTTCTGTTACTTCCTGCTGCTGTCCGCGCTGCTGTGGTGGCTGTGCCTGACGCACGCCTGGTACATCACGTTCCGCTCGTTCGACGACCAGACCCTGAAGGAGCGCTTCCGCTTCTACGAGATCATGTACCACGTATTCGTGTGGCCCACGACCCTCGCCATGACGACGGGAATGCTTGGCTGGGGCAAGATTGGCGGCGTCCCTCTCTACGGGATGTGCTTCACGTACGAGCTGGAGCCGTGGCTCTACTTCATGACACTGCCGGTGCTGGTGGTCGGCGTGCTCGGCCTGCCCTATTTGGTCATGGGTACGCGCATGGTGATGACGTTCAAGAGCAACATTCGGCGCATGGCGCGCCACAACTCCATCCAGAGCATGGAGCGTAAGCGGCGTAACAGCGCCGGCCTGCGCGCCTTCCTGGCCCGCACCACGCTGATCATCATCGTCAGCTTTCTGCACCTTCTCATCCAGGCGGCCATCGCCGTCTATCGCCTGGTGAACGACAAGCAGTGGCGCGAGCAGGGCGAGGCCTACTTCCTGTGCACGCAGACGCGCTGCACGGCCGACGCGAGCGCGTGCGACGGCCTGAAGCCGAACCCGAACCTGGCGCTGTTCATTCTAATCACGGTGCTGATCAACATGGAGGGCATCGTGCTCACCTGGTGGGCGTTCAACCAGAAGTCGCCGCAGGAGTGGAAGGTGCGCGCCAGCAACAGCAGCATGAAGCTGTTTAAGCGCATCAGCTCGACGCGGCTGAGCACGATCGACTTGAGCGCGGCGCGTCGCTCAGTCAGTGGCGTCGACCCGGTGGTGAGCAGGGCCACCATCCTGCTGCGCAAGGACTCGCGCAGGGACGACGACCAGCGGCACGACGTCAAGGAGCTGACGCGGCAGAACACGCGGCAGAACAGCAGCGTGCGGCGCAAGGGCAGCACAGCGAGCTCGCAAAGCAGCGGCGACGGCAGCGGCAGCCGCTACATCCGCAACCCGTGCTCAACCAACGAGCCGTCCGCCACCATGCTCAAGACGGTGGTGGAGATGGCGCCGATCCTGTCGGCCACCAACACCTGCGACTCGCCGACGCCCCTGACTCCCAGCCCGCCGGTGTCGATGAGAAGCGCTCGCAGCATGACCTGGTCCAGCCGGCAAACGGCGACGTCAGGCCACCACAGCGAGAGCGAGGACATCTCCCGTGGCTCCACGACCACGCTTCACTCGTCGTCGAAAGAGAGTGCCGACTGCAGGCTGCCAGTACCGTCAACACTCAAGATCTATCCGAAGGGACGTTCGAGCTCTGCTACGGCGTTCACGGGGCACAGCCTGGCACAGTTTGCGGCGTCGACTCGGAGCGTGGCCTGCTTGTCGCCACCCGAAGGACTCGAACTCACTAGCAGCAGTCATAATAGTGAGCATGCCCTCTGCTCCGACTGAGCTCTCTAGCCGCAAGCCCGCTCCGTCACGGTATAGCAACTGCGAGGACGGCAAACGAGTGCCCGCACTAGCGGATAAGCAGCGTGGTTAACGAAGCGCACCGGCACTAAGTGGCGGTAGCATCGCGACGATCTGCCAATCTCCAGGTGCAGCCAACAAGTCCGGTCATCATCATGCGGGTGCCGAAGATTCAGTCCGAGACCCCACCACCTTGTCGTCAGTCGGTTTAGTCTCACGTCGGAGACGTTCACGCCTAGTTAGCAGATTGCTGAACTCAGCTAGCCAGTCTCAGTAGGAATCGGTCGCTCTAGTCCAGTTCGGACTCTGTTGCGAACCAGTCCACTGTTGTTGAAATCAACCCGGAACGAACGCGTCAGCTGCTGAACAGTGCGTATGTGTAGAAGTGATATGCTTGACACGCTGGATACACTTTAAAATTTATCTTGTCTTTGCTGGGCTGAACACTTCTGCACCAAGACCGGTAGCAATTATTCTCTTTTTCTGTGCTCTTCTGCTTCCAAACAAACCTAGAATCTATTCACAAGCCATCTATCTGTGCTTGTGTCTCCCCCCCCCCCCCCCCCCCCCCCGTGGGTGAAGATCTAGTTTCTCAGCTCCCCTCTGGAATATTTTCATCTTCAAACTTCATACCCTCGCTTAAACTATTTTCAAGGAACTGATTAATTTATTGAACAATTTCTATTTCTTTAGGTCCTTAGGGTCTTTAGCGGTGTGCCATGTGTGTGTGTGTATGTGTGTGTGTGTATGTGTGTGTGTGTGTATGTGTGTGTGTGTATGTGCGTGTGTGTGTGTGTGTGTGTGTGTTTTTGTCGGTGTCTGTGCCACTGCATGTGGGCGTATGTGTGAGGTTTAGTGGGTGCGTGGACATGTGTAAGTGTGTTTGCTTCTGTATACATATGTGTGTGTGTGTGTGTGTGTGTGTGTGTGTGTGTGTGTGTGTGTGTGTGTGTGTGTGTGTGTGTGTGTGTGTGTGTGTGTGTGTGTGTGTGTGTGTGTGTGTGTGTGTGTGTAATGGCGCAGTGCGTATTCCGCTCAACCAGTACCGCGATCGGCTCAGCGTGACACTTCTGTGCTCTGCGATGTTTGCCAGCGTACTTTCGCCCACCAGAAATACAAGAATCGCCACAAGTGCCTGGCCGAGAGGAGGAAGCCCATATCTGAGCAGTCCGGCAGCCGACTATGTAATGCGTGCGGGAGATGATTCTTGAGTGCTGGCGGGCTAGCTTCGCATAAGCGTCTCTCCAACTCGGCTGCTGAAGTGGCGTCGGTCTCGGCTGTGGCATCGGCAGACTCGGTCCGGAAACAGCGGGTTGCCCTGCCCTGCTGCAGAGCGCATTGTCTCGGCTGCGGTCGCTGCTGCAAGTCATCCCGTGGTTTCGACCTGCATAGCTGTGCTAATTTCCTGTCCAGGAAGTAGAGCGGCGTTTCTGGGTCCAATGCTGAACTCAGTGCTGTCGACCCCTGCACAGGGCACACGTGACCATTTGATGGCAGTGTTACCAAGGACCAAGGTGTGTGTGTGTGTGTGTGTGTGTGTGTGTGTGTGTGTGTGTGTGTGTGTGTGTGTGTGTGTGTGTGTGTGTGTGTGTGTACCTTATTTCCCCGATTATAAGTCGCACTCGAGTATAAGTCGCAACCCCATTTTCAGGTTTGAGCGATGTTGGAATCCAATACACCACACCACCACATTGCCCTCTTGGCCGATCCAAACTCTGCACTCACATCACCATTACCACAGCGAGGACAATTCTTCTCAACAATATTGAGTTCGGGCAACATTGTTGCGATATATTCACTTCAGTAGCAAGTCATGCTCGACTGTAAGTCGCACCGCACCCCCTTTTTTACCCTAGGATTTTAGTGTAAAAGGTGCGACATAATCGGGGAAATGCGGTATGTGTGTGTGCGTGTGTGTGTGTGTGTGTGTTTGTGTGTGTGTGTGTGTGTGTGTGTGCGTGTGTGTGTGTGTGTGTGTGTGCGTATGTGTGTGTGTGCGTATGTGTGTGTGTGTGTGTGCGTGTGTGTGTGCGTGTGTGTGTGTGTGTGCGTATGTGTGTGTGTGTGCGTATGTGTGTGTGTGTGTGTGTGTGTGTGCATGTGTGTGTGCATGTGTGTGCGTGCGTATGTGTGCGTATGTGTGCGTGCGTATGTGTGTATGTGTGAATGTACACGTATCACTATGTATGCGCATACTCGTACGTGATCGTGTATGTGTACAGATATGTAATGTGTGCAGTTGGCCCAGACAGATCCTGCCGGCAATTTGTTCGGCAAAATAACGAAGAATTTTTTTTAAAGCGGAAAATGCCAGCAAAATAGGAGGAAACTTATGATATCGAGATGTCGGGTATAATCGATGCCTGATACTTGGATTTCTTTGTTTCTTAGTAATTCTTACCCGTTCAGCATGATACACTGCCCATGATGAGATCATGTGACCGAAGTGTCTCTGGGATACACTGGGGATCGACATGATTTTGGAAGAACCCAGGGCCACACGTGTGTGAACACCCGTGTTGAGAAACCGACGCTGCGATTTTGTGCAACGTTGTACAGGAAATGGATAAAATACACGTTTTTCCGGAGCAAAATGGAGCATAATATCGGGTTCCTAGGGCCAGGCTCGGAAAAATATCGAACATCTCGCAGCAACATTCGAGGCGAGCGAAGCAGAATCTGTCTGGGCCTAATGTGCTGCTAGCAGTAGCGGCAGCAGATTGGATAATTTTTTTTAACGGGGGTGGGGTGGGGTGTGAGAGTGAGGAGTTTCGTGCTGCCTTCTCGATACATACGTATGTACACTGTATATCATGTGCACATTCACATGTCTGAAGGTTTGTGGTTTTTCAATAAAAAATAAATAATAAAAAATAAAAAAAGTTTCATGTACTGCTGTCAATATGTGCAATAACAGTTACTATAGCTTATGGGGGCGATTTTAGAGAACAAAGTGCAGAGCCAGGAAAACAATGTAGACTATAAAGACAAGAATTCGTCAATGTCCACACAGAGTACGACCAGCGGTCAGCTGACGCCCGGACAGCGCCAAGAAAGGTAAATGGAGCAGAACAGCTAAAACAAATCAAGCGCTGGACAGAGACAAGGACGGTGTGCCGGTGTGACATGAAATGTCCCGCTATTATCTGCAGAGGTGATTTCTTCCCTCGTCGATTTCTTTCCTGCTTTTATACCTCAATATTTAGGTATTTGTTTCCCTTCTTCCCATGCTTCATCTTCCACTCTCCTCTCCCCATTTCCCCATTTTTCTTGCGATATTTATGTGGGAGACTTCCGTGATAAGCATCCATTTGCTTTTGGAGAATCCTTTTAAATAAATACAATACAATACATTGTTGCCACAGCAACTGCGAAAGGGTTTGCGATGATGATGATGATGATGATGATGATGATGATGATGATGATGAACACTGTCCGTACAGCTAGCTGTGTGGGGACATTGTCAAATTATGTAGCGTAATTAGGCAATGGGAGTGACTGATCCTTTGAAATAATTTAATTTGAAGTTCTCCCAATCCCTTAAAATTACGTAACGGTTATAAAAGGAGAAGGGCAAAATATTACGAGTTATAACCATCATTACATTGGCTCACCAGCCGACTTCAATTAGCCAATGCTTTGTAATTTTACGGATATCCTTTTCACGATACCTGCGTGGAAATCTGTCTCAAAGTCCAAGACACGTCGCCATTACTGCACCGGTTAGATGCTGCCTGTAATCAGGGAGTAGTAGAATACCGGTATTTTACTACTCCCGGCAATTTTAGTATTCTCCCTACTGCAGACAAAGGTAACACAGTCGGTTTGGAGATAAAAAATGAAATTGTTGAGCTGGTAGAAATGCGTAGATGTGCTTTTCTTCGGATTTTGGTGCCTATTTCCTGGAACGTTCCATCGTATCACTATTCATTATTCAGAAAGTTTGCTCGCATCATATGCCCCATGCTTGCCGAAGTGACGCCATGGTTACGCCTGTCCGTAACTGGTCGTCTTGCTCTCCCGTCCCAGCTTCTTTCTCCTTTGCGTGTACGCCAAACTTGGCGTCGGCGTGGCCGACAATATCTCCCACGTAACGGTGGTCGGCTGATTCAGCTGCCGGTTGCCACCTGTTTGTGTGCATACAAAACATATACACACAAACACACAAATGCGTGCATGCGCACACACATACACATACACACACAGACACACACACCAGTACACACCGTACACACCGTACACACACACACACACACACATGCACACATATACACACACATCCACACAAACACACACACACACACACACACATACACACATACACTTACACATTGGCCAGGTCATCACCGTACCAACTTCAGTGTCGGCCATCAACACATGTTTTCTGCTGAGGAGGTTATTGTGTACCCGCCATATCACACAAACTGTATGAAAGACTATGGTATAGCCGCACCAATCCAAAACTGCTTTCGGCAGTCCTGTTGTGTGCAATTGGTGACTAAAGAATAGTTGCCATCATGTGGTTGTTGTCCAGAGCTGGTATTCTCGGTAACACAATATTTTCGGTGGAACGTTCATTACGGTAGTTTCGGTGCAGAAACCACGCACATACATTTTAGATTACACCTAAAAGGCATCGGAGTATGCACTGTATGTACATGAGAAATGCTGGTCGCCTGATTCTACATTACATCTTTACAACAAAAAAACGGCAAGTCCCTGACCCTGGTACAGTCAACTTCGCTTATAACGACACTCGGCGGGGCATCAGAAAGTTGTCCTTATTCGCGAAGTGTCGTTATACCCGAAGTCTCATTATATGTATTGCAGTTGGATGGGACTTTTTTCCCGGCATGGAAATTCTGTCGTTGTTGTGAATTGTCGTTACATCCGCAGTCGTTATTAGCGAAGTTGACTGTACATGTGTGGCCTAAAATTGCATGTACTGTATTCTCCATTGGACATACCTTGTGTCACAGCTGATGCGTGCGAAGTGCGTCTGATTGGCCGTTGACATGTGAACGGTTCTGAGTGGCACAAACGGTATGTCCAGGACGATAGGGCACATGTGACCAGGCAATATAAACATGACATGCACGTACACACACACACACACACACACACACACACACAAACACAATCACACACAATCACACAAACGCACGCACGCACACACCATAGCACCGGCACGTGTACATGGTGTGCATAAACCCTTGCCACCTTGACGCATATCTTTTGCTTCATATTTCTCCCAGGATAACGCATCTGGTGCAAGACCGAGATTCCCCATTCTGTGGATGTAGAGAACATTCCATCACAAGATGGAGGCCTGAGAAGGCAGAAGCCCATTGTGCCATGACATAATTTGTTCAGCAAACACCCCACACAGCCACTTGGGTATGGTCGTGTGTAGGGTGTTGAACAGTGCATTGCTGATTCCAGCGTACTCACATTTCATTACTCATACATTCCATATTTGGCAATGCGCAATGGGGCAATGGGCTTATTGTTAAAATGCACACCTGAGCGTGAAGATGAGCGCGTCTCCAGCCCGGAAGTCGGATGTCTTCCACTGTCCGCCAAAGGCAAGAATCTCCTTCGGGTCTTCGGTGAACCAGCCAGTGCCTGTGCGGCCGCACACAACATTGACAACAAAAGAGACAGAACATGTGCGAACAGCCTTTGGGGAATCCTTGAATATATAAATACAAATACAAATACAAATGTTGAATGGTTTCTGCTGCGATGACAGCTACACAACATAGCCATACCACCATGGCTCAGCGATTCAAGAGCATCACTGGCCTCGAGCGAAGGTCCCTGGTTCAAGTTCTGGTGATGACAGTCTATTATTAGCCTGGACTACAAATGTCTGAAAGTGCATAGACTCCTCTGTAGCCATCCACTATACCCAAGCATCTTCACAACACTCCAAACGGTCTCTGGGCTACACCATTCACTGAAAATGAAAAGAATTTTTTTTACAATCATTCGAATTTTCGGACAAGGTCCATCTTCAGGAAGATGTGCCTTGTGGAAAAATTCGAATGATCACCTCTTCTTCTCTTTTGTGATTGGTGTAGCCCAAAGACCATTTGGACAGTGTTGTGAAGATGCTTGGGTATAGGGGACTACAATGCCATATATTAACGAGGGACGGGCGTAATGTGCACACACACACACACACACACACGCGCACGCGCTCGCGCGCACGCCGTGACCGTACCTTGCAGCTTGCCCAGCTCGACGTCGAAGTTCCCGTACGTCTCCTGAAATGTTGCGAATCTGCATTTCAGAATCACACGACAACGCAGCTAGCCAGTCATACACGGAGGGTGGCGTACAGCCTGAGTGTGACATCATCGTGTACAGTACCACATGTCCAGGCGACCACTCTGATAAGGTGACCACCTGTCCCAGAGGACCACCAGAACCAGGACAAACGGATGTCATTTTGTGACGGGAATGGTCTTAGAGACTGCTTCCCCATTCCCGTTGGCCTTCCAATCACATAATGACTTACACTCTTTCTGCAGGCTCTGTATGGTGATCCCCGAATTACTTATTATTATTCATGCGTAATGGACAACTATTTCTCTACACACATCCTTATTCTACCTCCCACACCGTACTCTGAACACAGCAGGGAGTCGAATATGACTCCCTGCATTTATTCTGAAATATGAAGCTGGCCACGACGAGGGTTTCCCCTCAGTTCTTGGTTAGTCCAGAAGGAGTGAGTTCGATGTGTTGTGTCGACTGGAGCTGCTAGTAAATTAGTATGCTTACTGTTACACATTTCCAGTCAAATGACCCCGGATACGGAGACCACCGGTACACGGGTATCACATTTGTAAGGTCCTTTCAGCGGTTGTCCAAGACAGGTTTCACTGTAATCGTACACAACCCCGAGTTGGATAGTGTAAAGTGAGACACCATGTCTGCATCGTGTGCACATAACCATGTCTGCATCGTGTGCACATAACCATGTCTGCATCGTGTGCACATAACCATGTCTGCATCGTGTGCACATAACCATGTCTGCATCGTGTGCACATAACCATGTCTGCATCGTGTGCACATAACCATGTCTGCATCGTGTGCACATAACCATGTCTGCATCGTGTGCACATAACCATGTCTGCATCGTGTGCACATAACCATGTCTGCATCGTGTGCACATAACCATGTCTGAAGTACTGTAAACCGACCAATGTTTGCGTCAATAATTTTTGGCGCGATCTCTCGGAACCACCAAGTTTACATTGCCAAATGTTCACGGAGCGCCATGGTCACACATATACACCCACTGTTGAAGTTTGATTTGACGATGGTTAGTATTTGCGTTACCCTCTTCTCGCAAAATTAGCCAACATTATTATACGACGCAAACATTAGGCTGCTGACCGTACGTACTGTTCGAATTTAAAAGTGCGCTAGTCGCCGAGAGTGAGTGATTTAATATGAAAGATAAATACATTAAAACCTGTAAGGCGACGGCTAAAAGAACCTTACGACCCTTACAAATGTGGTCCCCATGTTCAGGTGGTCTTCTTCTCCAGGGTCATTTGACTGGAAATAACACCCCTTGATCATGGTTGTGGTGATCCTCATGGACAAGTGGTTGCCTCATTAGACTGGTCACCTCATTAGACTGGTCGCCTCATTAGACTGGTCGCCTCATTAGACTGGTCGTCTCATTAGACTGGTCGCCTCATTAGACTGGTCACCTCATTAGACTGGTCGCCTCATTAGACTGGTCGCCTCATTAGACTGGTCGCCTCATTAGACTGGTCACCTCATTAGACTGGTCGT